TAAATTTTAAACAAATTTTGTATCAAAAAACTATATTAAAATTATTAAATATCATATATTAACTACATCTGGTAAAATAGACAGGTTTTATAAAAGCATCTTCAATAGACTATTCAAAATCTAGTGGAGCAAAAAACATGCCTAACAACATCTCCAACAGATTATTTACAATGAAGTATTTATTTATAATATTAAAATACTCAATACAATTCATAAAATATTATTTCTCTCTTTTGGACATTTAATTTCAAAAATTATTATTAGTAGGAAGAATAAATATTATTTATATTAAATAATCATTTCTAAAGAGTTCTCTAAATTTGGAGATTTTCATCATTTCTCTCCTACGAATTAAATATATTTATAAAAACTATATTATTATCATAATAATTAGAGATGATCATTTGTGAATCTGAGTTGAGTCTGGACCGGACCTAACCTGTATATATTTTTTTTTGTCCAACGAACCTAATATTATAAATCCAAGCCCCTTTTTCAGGGCTTGACAACTTGTCATTGCCCACGCTATAAATGGGTCAGGTTGTCCACGGGGTAACATGTCTAAAAAGTGTAATTCTTGTAAACCTATAAACTTGATTACTAATAATTAATTAACAAATGTGAAACCAAAAAGTAAAGGAAAAACACTGTTGTAATTAAAATTTTAAGCAACTAAAGTGATACATGGATCTCAACAAGTAGAAAAAGAAATGAAAACAAACACCCTTTAGCCATTTGGGTTCCCAAGAATAATCAAAAAGTTTATCCTATAACTTTAATAATTTAATTTTAAAATATACCAATATAATTAATTAATGGTAAAATAATATTAATTATCTATACTATATTATAAAGCATTTGACTAAAACTCTTAAAAACTCTTAAAACTCTTAAACTCTTAAACTCTTAAAAACTTTTAAACCCGTTCATCCCTATCCGATTTCATCTCATATCTGAATTCGTGTAACTAACTGCAGATAAACACAATTAAATACAGGATAAACATCTCATTTTAAATATAAAAAATCTAAAATATAATTAGGATAATCATTGAGTTCTAACAGGATAAACATCTCATTTTAAATAT